ACGAAGAGAGAGAGAGAGAGAGAGAGAGAGAGAGAGAGAGAGAGGGAGAGAGAGAGAGGTAGTATACAAAATGGTTCGCTTGTGACATCGAAGCAACGAAATCTCAGTCGACGGGACCCCGATTGCACCTCGATTTACGTTTTGGGGCAATGCATGCAAGCAAGTCCTCTTTACCTAGGCCTACACGTAGATCTGTGGCAGGCAGTGGCATTGCGATACACCTCTCTCGGCTCTCGGAGAGTAGCTTGTTTGTAAAACGCGTAGTATCTCATGAATATTTATGAAAAGTTTGGGCCAATGGGAAGAAAGCAATCTCTACCTCGCTCTTTCCTCGCGCTGTTTTGGCTCGCTAACGACGCCGCGAGGCCCCCAAAACAGCGATCTTCCGACGCGAAACGAAACGAAAGCTAAATCTGTTCTCGCTTCGCAACTCGAGGCTGTTGTCAGGACTGGTGAAAACAAGTTCGCAAAGTCCTTCGATCGACATCTGGTTGAAAAAGTCTCATCTATTACCTGAATATTCGAAAACAGCGATTCTCATAGACAACAACAGACACTTCAAGAAGTTTGTGACTCTCTTTCAAACTTTGTATATTGTTGATTCTGCCACAGTCACAGAGTCAAACCACAGGACGAGTTCACTGCAAGCCTTTCAGTTTTAGGCGATCCCACTGATAGCGAAAGGGGCCCAGTTTACGTGGACAACGCAGCGGCCGCCTAAACTACTACATTGGGCATAGAGTAAACGCAGTCGAACGGAGAGTTTTACAACTCGGGTCACAACTTTTACTCACTCGCGCGTACGCGTGCGGCTCAGCTGATTCAACTGTGTGAACACGTTCTTGGATTGCCTTTCTGTGTTTGGATAACTATCGAGGGCCCAAGACTTCCAATGGACTCTTGCTGTTGTGCCAAAATGCAGAGCTCAAGTATCGGATTTTAGAAGTTTGACTGGTAAGCGAAATTAGAACTTAGGGAATCGAACTTACATCTGAATCTAGCAACTTTACTTTGTTATCTTAGACTTAGATCTAGATATATCTAGATCTAGATTCTAGATCTAGATCTAGATTCTAGCCACCTCATTTGTTTTGATGAGGCTTGTAAATTTAGTTTTGATTCTAGAGTCTATGTGTTAGTTTCCTGATTAGAAGAACATCAATTTGATCTATAGAGATACTTAAATTTAGAAAATATCTAGATTCTAAATCTAGATCTAGATCTCTAGAATCTAGATATCTAGTATTGCGAAACTTTTGAGTCATAGGCCTATATCAGGGTATCCTTTTCAGTGAAGCAAGGCCTAGCCTAGACTTGGCTCTGCTGGGTATAGGCTAGGCCTACAAGCCAAAAGCGCTTTCTCAGTATGAATAGGCCAATAGGAGAAGGATGGGCTCTGTCACGCCTCACGCGATCTCTTGGTCTTGTTTTAGACATTCAATTTAGATCTAGTCCTTCATTACCCGTAGGAAATGGGCCGACACCTTTTTACAGCGTAATCATATTCATTATTTATTGTAAACAATAAATAGAATGATCATTTATTTATTCTTTTAGATCTAGATCTAGATTAGATCTAGATTCTAGGCCCAGTAAAATAAATCTAGATATTTCATTGCTTTTAAAACATAAGATCTAGATCTAGATCTAGAATCTAGATCTAGATCTAGTTTAGATTTAAATAATGACATTTATAGAATCTATTCTAGAGTCTCGATCTGGACCTTAAAAATAATGTGTTTCTAAACAGAATTCAGTAGAGTCTAGATCTAGAATCTAGATGATACAACAATAGATCTAAATCTAGATCTAGATCTAGATATATGTAGAAATCTAGAATAAATAAA